TTCTTCTTCTCCTCGACGACACGGCGCAAGTGCGCTTCGATTTCGTGTTTTGTCTGCCAGTGCGACACATCACTCGGGTTATTCCCGTTATTCTCCTTGCCCCGATCCACAGTCGACAGCACAATATGGCTCACGCCGGCCTTGGCCGCGGCGTCAATCAGACCAGTGCCCTCGGCGACTTCATTGGGGCCGGGCACGGTCATGATAAACGCAGCCCATGGTTTCTCCGGTAGCAAAGCGCTGAAAATTGAAGAGGGCTGTTTGAAGTCGCCCTGAACGGCACGTACGGCGGGTGATTCTTGCGTGAGCGAGAGTGTGGTGCGCGAGTTGACGTCGCGTGTTACCACGGCGATCGAGTGTTCGGAGGCGTTGAAGGAGGCGTGTTTGAGTAGGCTTTGTACGACGGCGCGGCCTTGTTTGCCAGTGGCGCCGGTGACGACGATGTGCTTGGTCATTCTCTCTCTCTCTTTTTCTCTGTATCCCTGGCGTAAGTCGTAAGTACGTAGTAGTAGTAATCAGTCGGACGCAACTGTCGCAAGCATGGGTATACAGTGTTTTAAATAGTGGTCACTGTGTAGTTCTATGGGGCCAGCCGGACTCTGGACTCTGGACTCTGGACTCTGGACCCAGGTGCCAATATTAACAACCCATTACTTAGAACTCAACTAGTGCTTAGCAGTTGGTTGGCTACTCGGCTGATTCTTTTTCGAATATGGCCCGTTCAATGCGCCGGCTGCGATGATGCGATTATATTCCATGGGGCCATGCATTGATCGTCTGTACGACTGCATTAATAATCTCTGAACTCGGCCAACTGGTACCCCGGAATGCATAATTATGTCTTGTCACTACTTGGTCGATAAATTACTCAAACAGGCAAATTCCAGGACAATCGGGGTGCAAAAAGGACCGAGAAAAGCCGAGACCGTGGGGCGATCCTCCATACTATGTAGTAACTACTGTCATACACACTGCACCACTGACCGGTAAGCTATTTCTTCAATTTGCGACTTGAATTGAATTATGTTTACTTCAATTAGTTATTTTCTGACGCGTCAGATTACTATGATTTCTGGAAATAGTCAGCCTAGAATACCAATAAATATCAATTGATACTGGTTAATTAAAAGAGCATCGCTACGGCCGTAAGCCGAGATCGGTTATTGATTGATGAATTCAGGCTGAAAACCCGCCGCTGTTGTTATTATTAGTAGTAGTAGTATTATTATTTTTTTTAATCGTTGATGAGATGTATATTATCATGTCGTGCTTTTTCGTGTGTTTGCTTATGGTCTCAATCAACTAGTCCAGTAACAGTATGAAAGTCCAAGGTTACTCTCTGGCTACACTGCTACCGCGCAGGGGTTTGGTGATCTCGTAGCTTGTCGGTTTTTGTTAGGGTGTGCTGTCTGACCGAAACAACATGCGCTCTCTACACATCGTCTACCCGAGATGACTCCAGCTCAGATGAGTAGATCGAGGCCGTTGCTGCCTCTTGAGTTCGGACGATAAACAAGGTATGAATATGGGATATCCTCGACCGATTACTCACAGACATCTGACGAATGGAGCACATTAAAACATCGCATTCTGCAGAAGCTTTGTCCTCTCTCGGCGCTGTTGAGCCACGCAAGTCTAGCATTCGGCGTCTACTCGCTGAAGAGCCACGGACCACAGAAGGAGTAACAAAAACAGTCACCGCAGTTTAGAAACAATCCTCTCCTATTGCGGCGCTCATCACTAAATGCGTCGAGTCTCAACTGAGTATCTCCTGTGCAAGCCAACCTCAACACGAGACCTCTCCTGCAATCTGCCAGAGTGTTGTCTCGAATTGCAACCATTATTATGCCCATCCAACAAGGAAAGAAGCACAAAATAGAAGAGAAGCAGAAAATGTCCCCAGGGTCGGTTATCAGGGCAGACTTCGCTGAAAGAAAGAAAGAAAGAAAGAAAAAGAAAAAGCAACACACAATTAGCAAGTGTCTACAACCAACTTCGAGGATCGTGTCGATCTGAGATGATTTCTTCAATACTTAGCCAGACATAGGCACAGAATTCAGATCTTCAAAAGCAATAGGACGAGAAGGATTTGCAACTTGCACGGGCACAAGAATATACTAAGAACTGGCACGCCGAAAAGTATACTCTGGTCAGCGAGAATGCACGTCTAGCTAAGGTGGAAAGGATGAAGGATATCCTAGTATGATTGAATGTAAGACACACCTACCCGTCCAGGGGATCGATTTGGAAGGAAAGCGAAAGAGGAAGAAAAAGAAAAAGTAAAAAAGAGGAAAAGGATAAAAAGGGGAATAATAAAACTAAAGGACCAAAAAAAATCATCTGCTCACTAGAGGGCTCGAACCTCTGACGTCCGCATGTACTTAACCATTGGATTATTAGTACGGCACTCTAACCAACTGAGTTAAGCGAGCTTGCTTATAAACAATCAGGCTGTTTTTTAACACTCAAGGAATAACGTGACTCGGGGTTCCGCAAGTACCGCAACAACTCGGTTGAAGTGGTAAC